CCATCCATCATGATGTTGCCTATTAGTCCAGTGGTTCAGAGTTTTTGTCTTCTTGACATTGAGACACAAAGGCTGCATTCCTTGATCTTCTGCTACAAGTGCTTTCAGTCCTCCTCACTTTCAACAAGCAAGGTTATGTCATATGCATCATGCAGGTTATTGATGAGATTCCCTCAACTTCCAAAATGCCGAAGACCAAACTTGTACTCCTTACCTCCAAGAAGTCAGGCTGTTCCTCTTCCAAGACAGATTTATTTGCTCCTCTGACAGTCCAGGATATATTTAAAGTTTTTCACCAACACCATAATTAATAGTATCAATCTTTTTTTTTTTAATCTTCTTTATCTACTTTTGAGTTTTCAGTGCACATGGGGTAACTAAAAATACCACAGCTTGGGTCAGGTTGCCCTTCACCCTTCACAGCAGATTTGCCCAAGGCAACACATCAATTTCCTGTCTGCTTCTTCAACAGCCATTTCTTGTACAAGTAAATGGAAATCCTTTCCATTGTCAATCCTTCTGCCATTGACTGTGATGCTGCTTATCTGTAGCGTTGTGAGAATGTTTGCTTTCTTGATGTGGAGGTGTAATTTATCCTGAAGGCTGTCTGTAGTCTTTGATATTTAACAGGAAGTGCTTCAAATCCTCTTAGCTTTTAGCAAACAAGGCTGTGTCACTTGTGTATCTCAGGTTCCTCCTTTCCTGATGCCACATTCTTCTTATAGTTCCACTTCACACACTATTTGCTCGGCATACAAACTGAGAAAGTATGGTAAAAGATACAACCCTCACACACACTTCTTCTGATGTTTAAACCACACAGAATCCCCGTGTTCTAGTCAAACAATGGTCCACTTTTGTACAGGTTTTACATGAACACAAGCGTTCTAGAATTTTCATTCTTTAGAATGTTATCCTTAATTTATCTTAATCCACATGTTCAAGTGACCATGTATAGCTAGTCGGTAAAACACAGTTAAAATCTTTCTGGTATTGCATACTTTCAGCCAAGATCCACCTGAGTCAGCAATGCTATCCTAGCCCTCTTTCCACATCCTCTTCTGATTCCAGCTTGCTTCAGAAGTTCTGGAAGCTCCTTTTTCATGTGCTGCTCCAACCGTTTCTGAATTATCTTCAGTGAAATTTTGTGTGTGATATTAAAGCTATTATTCAATAACTTCTGCACACTGTTGGATCACCTTTCTTTGGAATGGAAAAATACAGATCTCTTCCAGTTGGTAGACCAGGGAGCTGTCTTCCAAATGTCTTGACATAGACAAGTTGCATGTCTTGAATTTTATCTGCTTTGGAAATATCTCAATTGATACGCCGTCATTTGACAGAGCCTTGTTTTTCCCCAATGCCTTCAATGCAGCTAGAGACTTCTCCGGTCAATGTGAACATTTTTGTTTTGTTTTGGGTGTTTTTAAATTTTTAATTTTTTTAATTTTATACTGATTCACATACAAAGTTCATAAAAATCACAAACATTAGGGAGCTCTAGTGGCCTAGTGGCAAGAAGCCGCACTGCACTCCCAGAAGCACGCAGTTTGAATCCACCAGATGCTCTGCTGGAGAAGGAGGGGCAATCTCCTCTTGGACCAGTCAGACCCGATCTGATGGTGTGCACGCGCACATACACACACACACACACACACACACACACACACACAGTCATATACATTGTTTTTTAACACTGGATCTTTTTATCTCTCCCTCCCTCCACCCACCAAATTGTGTGACCCTATGATTAAGCACCCCTTGCCCCTTGGACCCTCATACTTGTTCTACAATAATGGTTTTATACAGCATTTGTCCTTATGAGACTGAATGAGTTCACTCAGCGTAATGCCCTCCGATCCCTCCCGTGGTAGGTAGTAAGGCAGTAATATACAAAATCATTGCTCCTGCGTGCTGCATAGTATCCCATGGTGTGAATATACCATAATTTCTCAATCCATCCCATTGTTGTTGGGTGTGACCAGCTTTTAATCATATACTAACTCTTGGAATGGCTAATGGTTGACCAATTCTCTTTGGTACAGTGACTCTGTGTATTATTCTTTCAATATTTCCTGCAACATTGAATATTTTATCCATAGAGTTCTGCAATATTCAAAAGGAAGGTCTAATTTTTTTTTTCTTCTTACAGTTCTTTCCATAAAGATGCACAGCCCTGGGAGCAGGCAGGGAGAAAAGTGCAACAATGAATGAATGGAAACCCTAAGTCTCTGTAAATGTTCACTAAAATTATTTTAAAAAGATGCACGGCCCTGGAAAACCTATGGGCAGGGTTTCACTCTGTCTTACAGAGTTGCTTGAACAATCAACTTGATGATAGCGAATTTGGTTTTATCTTTGTCCTTTGGAATTTTCTGTTCTGCTCTCTCACATCATCGTTTCTTTAGCTTCTCTACTTTCAAGAGCAAGTTTCAGAAGCTCTTCTGCCATCTGTGTTGTTCTTTTCTTTCCTGTCATTTTTTAGTTTTTGTTTTGTGTATGATGACCTGGATGTCATTCCATAACTCACCTAATCTTTAATTATTAATGTTCAACGCATCAAATCTAGTTTTGAGATGGTCTCTGAAGTCAGGTTGGATAGACTCAAGGTCATACTTTGGCTCTTTTGGGTTTAGTGTGTTGTGGGTTTTTTTTTTCTCTCCATTTCCTTCAGTTACAATTTGAAATTGCTCATTAAGCAATTGGTGGCCTGCTCCATGGTCAGTCTCTAGTCTTGTTTTGACTGGTGATATTGAACCTCTCTGTCTTCTCTTTCCACAGAGGTAGTGGTCAATTGTATTCATGTGTGTTCCATCTGGTGAAGGCTGTGTGCACAGTCACCAAGGAGAGCTCAAATGTATAGTTTATGTTGATGGTGGAAAAAGATATCTCCAGTGAATGGTCTGTTGGACTTGCAAATGCTGTCAAGTCATCTACAGCATTTTTCCCTATTAAGAAGCAATATTTTCCAACTACCTATATTTCTTCTCTTTCCCACTTTTGCATCCCAATCACCATTTAATTATCAACAAATTCATCATGACTGCATGTTTGATCAATTTCAGACTGTAGAAGTTGATAAAAACTTTTAATTTCTTCATCATCAGCATTTGTGGTCCATATGTAAATCTGAATAGCTGTCTATTAATTGGTGTTCCTTGAAGGGTGTCATCGACCCATCATACTTCAGAACATTAAGAGGCCATGCCAGGCTGCGGCCTGGTGAGGAAGGCTCCCTGCAGGGCTGGAGTGAGGAAGAGACCTCAGGTCCCACATGGAGCTTAGCCCTCGGGCAACCGTCCTTCTCTGGCCTCCTCCCTCTGACACGTACACAGGTAACAGATCTGTGGGGCCTGAGGATGAGGAGTAGCTCAGGGGGCAGAGTAGAGCCATCTTCTCAGGGCCTCACACTCCCATTCCTTCCAGTCTAGTCACTGAATTCTCTAGCAGAGGATGTAGCCATCTTTCCAGAAATGACACCCAAGGTAACAAGGCTCAAATCAATGCCGCCTCTCGCGTCTGCACAGGGCGTCAATGCCTCGTGGGAGCACTAGAGGGCGCCCGTTCCTGCCGAGAGCTAACACATACACCTCCAGCTTGAAGGCCCCCAGGTAACCCCCTGTGGACAGGCTCCTGGATCTGTGGCCACAGCAGTCACTTTCACCCAGTCTCTGTCCTGAGCTACCTTACTGATCATTCTCCTTCTAAAGTCCTCCAGGGAAGCCTAGCAGTCCACCCTTCAGGCCAGTGTCCTCTCCATCATGGTGCACCAGGTCGGGTGACAGAGGGACTCAATGTTTAGGTTCCCCTTTTCCACATTTACCTAAAGGCCAGCCTGTCAGGAGCCTGCCTGGACACAGGTGACACTGGCAAAGGTGGGACTGCCAGGGTGCTCCCCAACCCACTGAGCACTAGGCTCTGGATTTATGCCTCAGGGACAGATTACTCAGCCTGGCTGTGTCCGTCATGACTGCAGTTGTCTGGACTGTGAAAGGAGGCCAGAAGGCAGGAGAAGCATGAACAGATGGAGACAGAGGGGAACCAGGAGGAAGGACAGCCCCACCGTCACTCAGAGCCAACATCTGGGCTTGTGTTGAGAAGTGACCCCTGCACTCACCCTGACCCAGAGAAGGTCCCAACACACCCCCAGCCTGCAGCACCAAGCTTCGACCAGTGGTCCCTCTGAGCCAGGACCTCCAGCTCCTCCCAGCAACTACCCTGTCCAGGTCTCTAACCATCTTTCTTCACCCTCTAAACTTTTCTCAAGGGTGTCCCAGGGCCACCAGTTTCAGCCTGGACATCCAGGAAGGCCACCTAGTTCCTCTTGGTCAGCCCCGGCTGTAGGACCAGTAGTCCCCTGGGCTGTGGTGAGGAGGGGCTGGGCAGTGGGGAAGACCTGCTTCACTGGACATGGGAGGGAAGTGGGGGGCATTGTCCAGACCCTGAGGCTATGAGAAGGGCTGTCCCAGGGAGACTCTTAACTCCTTCCCTCTCCTTTAAGCTGACTGGATATTTCACAGAGGTCTTCCCCCTTGATTCTCATCCCTCACGGTGGAAGGGTCTACAAGCCAGCTGGAGGGGCTGAGGGGAAGGGGCGTCTATGTCCAGAGAGCCCAGAAAAGTGGATGGGTCCAGTCCTAGACTCCTGCTCTCTGTCCGTGTCCTTACCTGGAGTCAGAGGCTGAGGAGCAGAGGTCAGGAAGCAGACAGACCACACAGGGGCCTCTCTCTGCTCCTCTTGTGCCATCCGCCTGGGAAGCACGTCCCCCTGCCCTCAACCCATGATGCCCAGGACCCTATTACTCACCTGTGTCCATGTGCAGAGAACATGCCTGGGCTTGGGGGAGGGGGTCCCCATTAACATGCAAAGCCATTGCCTCAGCAGCCCACCCAGGGGTCCCGTCTGTCCCATCCTCCCACCGGGGTCCAGGCCAGCGGCGGTAACAGTCTGGCGCCCACCCCCCACCCCAGAGGGTAAGTCAGTTATGCTGAAGACTTACCTGGGTTTCTGAGTCGGCTCCTTGGACTCTCTCAAGCCAAACCAGCTACTCTTGGCTTTTTCCTCCCCGCTGGACGAGTGGTGTGGGGAGGTCCCCAGGGTGGGCCCGCCCTTCTCCCCCAGTGAGCTGCGACGCCCCACTTCACTCCGGCTCAACCCTGGGGGGTGGTGGTGGAAGAGGCCCATCCGGGGCTTCCGCTCCTCCTTCCGGGTGCCCTCTTTGTCTGCCCCGGCCTCAGAGGACGCCACCATTGGGGTGGCCACTTGGACAGGCTTGCCCTCAGGGAGCCGGGCCTCGATCTCCTCGCTGGTGCGGCCGGCCCCCACAGCAAGCGCTGCAGGCTGCGTGCTGGCCTCCTCCGGCCTGGGAACCACATCTGAGCTGCTGGCACTGCGGCTGCCCCTGCCCCGGAGGTCGTCCTCAGAGGGCCGGGAGGCCACGCTGTGCAGGGAGCCAGAGGCTGGGAAGGGGCCTGAAATGGAGCCACGGTGCCGTGGGGGCTGGGGGGGCTCGTCGTTGTAAATGTGGCTCCCGTTGACACACAGTGACGAGCGGGACCCCGAATCCAGATGGGCCTGCAGGTCCAGGAGGCCCCGGGGCCCAGCCCGCAGCTGGCTGGCCTCGTCGCTGAAGGTCCTTTTGTGGGTGAACAGCTTGGGGGACTGGGTGGAGTCTTTGCCTGGAAGGGAGACGGACAGGGTCAGCCCCAGATGGGCAGCCCAATTCCCCGGCCCTGCTCCCCCTCCACATATGCCCAGCCTCCTCGCTTACCCCCATCAGTGGACAGCCAGCTGCTGCGGCTGGGCGAGCGGGTGAGCAGTTCTTGGGGGCCCTGGAAGGCGGGGTTCCCGCTGGCCGAGGACAGGGTGCTGTCGGAGCCCAGCGAGGTGTTGGACTGGGTCAGCGATGACCTGCGCAGCTTGTTGCGCAGGAAGAAGCCCTTGGCCTTGCCCATCTTGCCCAGGCCACCCAGGTCCGGGTCCTCCGGGGCGCTGCTCGGCAGGATGGCGGAGGCCGACTCCAGGTCAAACTTCTTCTTGCCCTTCATCTTGTCCTTGATCTTGCTGAAGGGCGACCGCGGCTTGTCCTTGGCCGACAGGTCAAACATGCTGGCACTCAGGTTGTGCCGCGTGAACTGGATGGTCACCTGGATCTCCCCGCGCTCCTTCTCCTTCTTGCCCGTCTTCGAGTGGAGCTTGTACCACCTGTGAGGACAAGAGAGGCCACACTGGTCAAGGGCTTGAGGTCACAAAGCTCCTCCCTGTCCTCTCTACGGGGCCCTGCCCTTGGCACACACAGGCCTCGGCACCCAGGCCACTGGTGTGGCTGAGAAATGATGGCAGTGACCACAGGGTGGACAGAGAAGCCACGTCCCCAGCAGGGAGATTCTGGGTGTCACTCTACCGCGGCCGGCAGGGGGCAATGTGGTCAGAGCTCACCCCTGCCCCACCCGTACAGGCACCCTGGCCCCCCATGTCTCTAGAACACTGAAGACAGCCAGACCTGCCCACATTTTTCCCTGTTTACATCAGACTTTCCTTTCCGGCCAGTCCCAGCCAAAGCCACCAGAGATTCCAGAAAACAACAGCTCAACCAGAGGCCCAGGGTCAGGAGCCAGCACACGGCACACACGCCCCAAACTCCCACACTGACTCACCCAAGCCCTGCCAGGAGCTGACAGACAGGCCTGCAGGGCCCTTGTGCTGTAATCCGGCCAACATCCTCATCTCACGTCCATTTCACACAAGTGGTGAGACAGACACTACAGGACAGAGAATCCACCCCAGATGGAGCAGTTGGTACAAGGGGGCGAGGACTCACGATCCGGTTTCAGTACTTCACAGTCCAGGCTTTCCCTCCCACACACTTTCCAGAGAGGGAGAGCCTCTACCAGGCAGGACTCCAGGACTGGCCACGGCACAGAGCGGACGTCTGCCCCTCAGAGGAAGGACTGAGTAAGGGGGGAGAGTGAGGAGCTGTGTGTGTCGTCTGCTCCCCATATCTCTCTCCTACTCCAGTGGGATTCAGAGTGGACAGCTGCCTCATACAGTATCCCCGCTGGGATACTTAAGAGGCCATGGAGGTCCTCTCTCCCACTGTTTTTGGCCAGGCCACATGGCTACCCCATCTTCTCCAGACATGAAGAAAGGGGCTCCCTAGAGGCAAGGAGCAGGAAAGATTCTAACTGCGAGGCGTCCACACCCAGACTGAAAGGCCAGGGTAGGGTTGAAGACACGAGTAAGGAGTAATGACAGCCAGCCCCTCCACATGGACGCCCAGGGCTGACCAGGGACATCAAAGCAGAAATAAGACTTCTGGGGGAGCAGTCAGAGACAACGTGGAGGAAACACTGAGAAAAGAGAGAAATGGAGTGACCCAAGGCCAGCGTCATTTCTGAGTCTCATAACAGAGGGACTAAATAAAGGGGGGGGAGACGCAGAAAGAAACAACTACGGGAGAAGAACAGTAATGATAATGCAGGAACACCTCCCTAGCCGGCAGGCCATGTGCCCAGTGAGAAGGGACCACAAGTGCTGGACACAGTGAATGAACAGACCTGCACTCTGTCAACAGGGACAGAGAGGGGACTCTGAACACTCCCAACCAAGAAGGATGCGCACAGACAGGAACGTAGTTAGCCACTGCAGGTGCTAAGTGCAGGGGGAAACTTTCCAACCTAGAATTCTAGACCTAACCTGAGATTAAGGCAGAAGAAGGCCATTTTCTGACATGTACATATTTTAACAACGTATCTTCCACATATATCTTTCCTCAGAGGTGATGAGAAGCTAAGCTCTACCAAAAAGAAAGAATCCTCAGGACTTGGGCCCAGACGAGCTGGCCTCAGGAAGGCAGACACAGGAACTCCCCAGCTCTGCAATGCCATGGGAGGCAGTCAATAAAGGTCTGCGGAGACGGGCTTTCAAAACCAAAACTGATACAGGAAATAGAAAACAATTTGAGCATAGTGCTAGGTTTAGCAACGACCAAGATTTACACATACTCAAGTGAAATCAACTTAGTCTGAAATCCTAACTTTACTGGGAGGATAGAAGGAGGAGGCCTGTGTGAGGGGTAATCTTCTTCTTCCACAACCCAACAGGTAAACTGTAAATCTGACAAATTGAGAAATAAAGGCTCACTAAGGTGTGCCAGACTCGGGCCATGGTCTTTTCGATCATTTGCTATGTATGCATCTGAGAGCTGGACAGTGAATAAGAATGACAGAAGAACTGACGCCTTTGAATTGTAGGGCTGGAGAAGAGTGCTGAATATCCCATGGATGGCCAAATAATCATTAGTTAGGTCCTGGAAAAAGTACAGCCAGGGTGTTCCTTGAAGGTAAAAATGGAAAACTTTCATCTTTCATTCTTTGACAGGTCAGCTGTTGACTTCACAGCACCTAACAACAACAACCACCCACAACTCAACAATCAAAAAGGCAAGCAGTCTAGTAACAAAGGACTCAAACAAACATTTCTACAAAAAGGATAGAGAGGTAGGTGACACCAACCTACTATGGTCTGAGGTTGACTCTGAGCCATGGTGACCCACGGGCAGGATAGGTAAACAGGGGGCCCCACAAGCGGGATGGATAAACAGGGGGCCCCACGAGCGGGATGGATAAACAGGGGGCCCCACGAGCGGGATGGATAAACAGGGTGCCCCGCGAGCAGGATGGGTAAACAGGGGGCCCCACGAGCGGGATGGATAAACAGGGTGCCCCCCCACGAGCGGGATGGATAAACAGGGTGCCCCCCCACGAGCGGGATGGATAAACAGGGTGCCCCCCCATGAGTGGGATGGATAAACAGGGTGCCCCCCCATGAGTGGGATGGATAAACAGGGTGCCCCCCCATGAGTGGGATGGATAAACAGGGTGCCCCACGAGCGGGACGGGTAACAGGGTGCCCCCCCACGAGCGGGATGGATAAACAGGGGGCCCCACGAGTGGGATGGGTAACAGGGTGCCCCCCCACGAGCGGGATGGATAAACAGGGTGCCCCCCACGAGCGGGATGGGTAACAGGGTGCCCCCCCACGAGCGGGATGGATAAACAGGGGGACCCACGAGCGGGATGGATAAACAGGG